GGGGGGGGGGGGAACAAGCTCACTGATTCTACGGTGCATTCTTGCTTTAACCGCGATATGGAGTGCTAGGCTGCTCAACATGCGGTCTCTTGTCTATGTAAATATATCAGAACTTGGTGAGAAACTCAGACGTTCTAAGAGAAAACACGGAGCTAGAAAACATGAATGCTACCAACTTTTTCGAGTCTAAGAATCACGATCAACTAACTAAGCCAACTAAGGGAGATGATTTGCTGCCTGCCAATTGTACTTATTGTCAAGGACCAACATTTACTGTCAAGTCCACGACACAGTTAATTCTGGTAATGCTTTTGGTTATCACCTCTCTCGCTGGAAACTCGACCATCTGTATCCTAATGAAGAGGTTCAAGATGATTCGCACCATCCCTAATATGTTCTTAGCTAATCTGGCCATAGTGGATATCCTTAACATTCTCACCAATATGCCATTCTTCATCATCGTAGGCGTTTTTGAGCTAAATCAGACGTTGCATGGAAGGGTGGTGTCTTTACTGGTGGCATTGGCGCAGACCTTCTTCAACATTCTAAAGATCATGAGTACGTTAGCTACCATGATGGATCGCCTCATCGCTATCACTTGGGGATTGAAGCACTATGTCCGGAAGACCAGAACCAAGGCTGCGAAAGCTATCTGTGCAGCATGGCTTGTATCCATGGTTATGGTGTTGCCATGGGTGATGGCTAGCTCCAAGATCGATCTTGGAGATGCCCCTACTTATACCTATAGAATGGTCTATTTTGATAAGTTTGGCAAGGACAGCGCATTTTTCTTCTTCCTGATTTTTGGGTTGGTCTTCACGGTTTTGTCTTTGATGACATGCTTTAGTTTTAAAAGAAAAGTCAAGGTGGGTGGCGAATTTAAAATTTTCAGTTTAACAACATTTAATATTGTTTGTAGGCCGCAATCGCGTTCTGCAGTCGGACATATGCACAAGAATATAATAGTATAAATGTGTAATAAACAAATTCAGTTTCACCTTTACATGTTTAAAGAGCCGCGTTGATATCATAAGTTTTTACTCACTTGTTTTCATTTGTGGACCGCACACTGGTTCGCAATATGATATGAAAACTAGTGAATAAAAACGATGATCAAGCTCTTAATGTGTGAATCTCTTTTTACTTCATCATAAGATCAGCACTCAAAATCTACGTCCTGCTGTTTTATTAAAAAGATTTTTCACTGTATTATTTAGGGTTATACCAAGCAACGCAAAGAGCACAATATCGACCGGAAAATTGCACTGGAAAAGGCAAGAATCAGAAACGAAGCTAAGGCAACGTGGACGATTGGTCTGACCGTGGTTGCTTATGTCCTTTCTTATGTGCCTTGCATCATTTACTCTGTTTTCACCAATGACAGGGAAGATATGACCAAGACGAGTGAAGCAAAGTGGTTTGGCTTTGCTGCCAATTATTTTCTTTTCACATCAAGTGCATGCAACCCCTTCATCTACGTTGCTCGTACCAACAGGTTTCGGAAGACCATCAAGCAGCTACTTAAGACCCCATGTGGATCAAGTGCAAAATAATCAAGTGGATAGCAACAGCAGCAGGCACTTTAAACAAGGCGACGAGATTATCGCTCCATACTGTCAGCGTTAGAATAATAATAATAATAATAATAATAATAATAATAACAACAACAACAACAACAACAACAACAATAATAATAATAATAATAATAATAATAATGATAATAATAATATGCCAACCATTTAAAAGGGGACATCTCTGTCACAGAAGAACCGGAAGATTGCTCTCCTTGGAACTGCAAACATCATTAGAAAAACTCTCATGATTACTTGATTCTTGATTTCTTTTTTCCCTTTTAATTGATTTATTTTATTAAGTCCAACAACGCTTTACAAAAAAATATCAACATCAATTATGGACAATATTATTAAGACATTTCGCAACGAGAAACTTTTTTAAAATACATTTAGATAAATTATATAAACTATTAAAAAGCTACCGCATTGAAAATGTATCATTTCATATAAAAACATTAAAATGTATTATTAGTTTAATATTATCAAAATCATGTACAATCTTTTTTTGACAAAGTATTAAAAATAATCAGATTCAGGGGGAGGGGGAGGGGGATGAATAGATCTACCGATCAGCGGATTTCGCAAATAATTTAGTTCGGATTTCGGATTCACAGTAATGTTTTAGCACGTGGTTTTAGCGCATTCATATCACAGCGGATTTCACATACAAGGCAACTGTCAATTCGGATTCGAATTTAAGTAATTTTTTGCGGATCGTCGGATTTGGGCTTGAATTCTAACGGTTCAATACATTTGTTTATCCCTATTGAGTCCCCTCTTTAATCCTACTTGTCTTTCATATCTATAGATCGGTCCCTTAAAGACCCATTGCCACTTAATACCGTGATGCATCACAGTTTGTTTACATTTTGAATCGTGTCAACACTGAAAAAACAATTCTAACCGTTTGAATAAACTCTTAAAAGAATGTAAAAGAATCATTATTGTGCCTTAGTGCTATGTCGGAAAAGGAGTTAATGTGAAGTTATTATTCAATATATGAATCTTTGAATTTCATGGACCACGAAATTCATCTGTGACCGCGGTGCATCACGGTAAGTGGCAATGGGTCTTTAACTGATCTGTTCTATTCGCGGATGTCTTTTCTCTCAAACCATTCTACGATATGAAGATCAATTAAATATCCACTTTCCGGCAATGGCGTTTTAAAAAATCATATCATTTTCAGTCTATAATTGGAGATAATTGAAGGCTATAGTCCCTGAAATTTACAGTCAAAACACTTCAAGCGTGAGCACGTAACCCATTAATGGCTTTATTTTTGGATCATTGATTTCATCATTCGATTCCAACATTCACTATTGAAAACAAATATTCAATATTCAAAAAATAATTAAAGTTTGAACAAATGATTAACAAAGCTCATAAGCTTTCGTTTATAGCGAAAACACCCGGGGGGGGGGGGGGGGGTACTCCCCTATATTTGCTATACTGGTATGTGCCGCCCTATAGGGTATGGTTTTTCGGCTTTTGGGTCTGGGGTAGGGTATCATTTTTGGACATTTTGTCTGGGATAGGGTATCATTTTAGTCTGGGATAGGGTCAACGATTTGGTCGTTTTTGTCTGGCAAATAGGCTACGCTTTCTGTCGACACAAATACAATAAAAATGTTAGTAAATATTGATTGCAATCGATTGTAAAACCGTATTTTCCGTCTTTTAGTCTGGGATAGGATGTACAATTCTTAGTTTTAGTCTGGGGTAGGGTATGTATAATCAAAATTTTAGGTCTGGGATAGGGTCAGGGTTTTGAGGTCCTGGCGGCACACCCCTACCCAAGTTGGGGTGGTAGTAACCCCCCCCGGGCGGAAACAGAAGGTAAGCCATTAATATTACATATTCCTTCGCACAAAAAGTTGCTCTTGCATTTCAGCTGCATATATGCTTGGCTTATGTATATGCTAGGCTTAGAAGATTCATTTTCAATAATAAATGTTCAAATTGAATAATGAAATCAAGAATCCAAGAATAAAGTCATTTATGATCTCTATGTGTTCACGCTTGAGGTGGTTTGACTGTAATAGGCTTGTGTGGGCCGGAAATAGACTGATGATTGATACAGGTTTCAGAAAGAGAAAATGAATTAAGAGATGGAATCTCTTTAATGCTATTTTTAGATTATTCATTTGATTGTTTGTTAAAAACTGAGCAAACAGAAAAAAACAGCGCGTGCAGACAAACAAACGATAGTAAATGTGATTCTAAAAATACCATCATATATGGTGCCAGTCTACTGGTGCCTATGATGGTTACGAGCTAAATACCAGAGATTCCTTTTCTTAGTTTATTTTCTCTTTGGTCTGAAAACAGAACTGACACACAACCAAAAACCAACTTTTAAGTTTACTTTTAACTATCAAAAATAAGAAATATAAAAATCCGTGGTTGGAGCCAATCAACGACTTCAGATCGACCCCAGTATGCCAGTTGCTTATGAATCCTGATTGACATGTCCCTCGGCTACGTCCTTTAATTAAGCTCGCATGGACTGCGCGCAGTGTCAGTCAGCATGACTGAAAACGACATATCATTTCATTTTCTAGAAAATAAAATTCTTTGTTTGAGCTGTACTCCATACTCATGTATTTTCTTATGCACAACTATTAAACAAAGAATTGATACTCTAGGGAATGACAAGGCAGAGGAAGATCCAGGCTTATCCCATCGTGCATTGCGAGTAAGATATTAAAATTTTCCATTTAAACCGCTATAAATTAGTATTTCGAAATCGGTAGAAAAAGTTAATTGTTCTTAATTAGAGAGTATACCATACCTTTTAGCGTTATCTATTTTCTAAATTCTAAGAAATTTAGAGATATCGTCGTCAAAATACTCCGCTTTCAGTTTCAGTACATTTCTTACACTGACTACCTTTTTTTTTTTCCTGCCAAATTAGTGGAACATGTCTTCATTAAATACTAAAGCAATGCCTTAGTATTGATATTATTATTAGTAGAAGTATTATTACCTACAAAAAAGGTGCATATAAACCGGTGGAAACCCCGTGGGGGGGGGGGGGGGGACTCCCCTATATTTGCTATACGGGTACGTGCCGCCAAACAGGGTATGGTTTTCAACGATTCTACTCTGGAACAAGGTATATGAAATCGCGCTCGCTCTGGGACAGGGTATATGAAATCACGCTCTCTCCTCTCTGACACGGGGTGTCCATTTTCGCAATACCGGAACAGGGTGTGATTTTCAGCGATCTTGCTCTGGAACAGGGTATGAATGTCAGCGATTTTACTTTGGAGCAGGGTCAGGGTTCAGTGGGCTAAGCGGTAATCCCTACCCTAAACGGGCAAGAGTACCGCCGAGGTGGAAACCAAAGATAATAGCACGCAAAGGCGCTTGAGATAACCCTGGATTTGTTTGGGTTTCCTGTGGTATATGGTCTGGACTTCCGCGATTCGAACTCGTCAGCGGAATTCCGTTTAAAAACACTAATGATTTGGAATCGTTTAGGGACAAAACACAAACTCGAATCAAGGGAATGTTTTCAAGTCTTTAGACATCAAAATGCGAGTCATCTACTTCAGGAAACATGCTTGGACTATCCTACTAGCTGTTTGTATCTTCATTGGTGGAAATATCGTCCTTTTTTACAAGTTTATGGCTCGAAAAGAGCTTCAACATAGAAGAGCCCAAAAGATAGCCAAGCAGTACTTCGAGAACCTGAATGTTAAACCAAGCTCAAGGCTAGCGAATCTAGCTAATTATATTAATAAGAAGAATGTAGATGATTCTTTAGGCAACTTGCCTGGGTCTAAAACAGATCAAATTGTGGCTAATACCGCCAAAGACGTTAGTACAAGCAAAGTTGCTATAGGAACCAGACCAGAATTAAGAGATATCAGTAACTTAGGCACTCAAAATAATTTGGTAATCAAGAATGAAAGATCTGATTCAATCCAACAAGGAGAGAAGAAGTCTCAGCTGTTAACTCGAGAGAAAGAGCCAGGTGGTAATGCAATGATTAGTCCAGCAGAAAATTACAAGTTTGGAATACTGGTGATTTCCTGCAATAGACCAACTGTTAAACGTTGCCTTGATTTATTGATCAAGTACCGTCCCTCACCAGAGAAATTCCCCATTGTTGTAAGTCAGGATTGTGGGGATTCCAAGACTGCTGCTGCTATCAAATCCTATGGTGATCAAGTTACTCATATTCAACAACCAGATTTAGGGGACGTCAAGGGAGTACCTGGTAATATGTTTCATTTCATGGGTTACTACAAGATTAGTAGGCATTACAAGTGGGCTTTGACGCAAATGTTTGACGTGATGAAGTATGAGGCGGTAGTTATTGTGGAGGATGATCTTGACATAGGTAAGATCAAGTGACTAATTACATACTAGTTGTAGATGACATTTCTTCCAATCCTTCACTAGCCTAATAGAAGCCTCTGCTTTAAAAATTCATCACTCTCCATTCATTAATTTACTTGTCAAATGTAAAGCAATTGAAACCTGTAAGCTGTACAAGGTAGTTTGAATTAAAGGAATAGCCAAGGTAGTAATCAGCTGTGTGAACGGATGTACACAGAGAGTGGGTTTCAGAGAGTGGTAAATAGCTTGTGGATGAAGAATAGCTGGAGAAGCCAGAATAAACTCTTAAAGCACAAGAGAAAACCAACTAGAAATTCTACTTATATATGACTCCAAGACTGGGAATCGAACCCAGATGGCATTGGTGAAAGGAAAATGCTTTCACTATATGCTACCTGTGCTTCCCACAAGCAAGAAAAAGGAGAATTATTTCATTTGTTATATTATACAGGGAAAATATGTCAGTTTTCAATTTAGTGATCCTAAATAACAATATTTCCTTAGCTACTAGTCAATTTGGCACTTTCTTACTTTTCACGAAGAAACAGCACATTTTTTTTGCTATGAGTTTGTGTAAATAATTGTGGTGTTTTATATATTTTTCTCCAGCTCCAGACTTTTTCGAATACTTTACTGCTACAAGACCACTGCTTGACCAAGATCAAAGTTTATGGTGCGTATCTGCATGGAATGATAATGGAAAAGAGGGAATGGTAAGAGGAAATGATCTGCTGTATAGAACTGACTTCTTTTCTGGCCTTGGATGGATGCTTACTAAAAAGGTATGGGACGAATTAAGTTCAAAATGGCCCCTAGGGTTTTGGGACGACTGGATGAGAGATCCTGCACAACGTAAAGACAGGGCTTGCATACGCCCTGAAATTTGCCGAACCAGAACATTCGGGAAAGTTGGTGTCAGTAGAGGTCAGTTCTTCGATCAACACCTGAAATATATCAAACTTAATGACCAGCCTTATCCTTTTACTAAAACTGATCTGTCTTACCTATTGAAGGAAAACTATGATCCACAGTTTAAGAATAAAATAGGTCTCATTCCAGTGGTAACTGTACAGCGGTTGCAAACATCAGACTCTCATTTACCAAAAGTCAAAGTTCGGTATTCTTCAAATTCTGATTTTGAGCATATTGCAAAATCATTGGGAGTTATGTCTGATTTTAAAGCAGGTATAGCAAGGATGTCATATCATGGGGTAGTTAGCTTTATGTTCAAGGGAACTAGAGTGTTTATAGTTCCAGAGCACCAGATATAAATAGAGAAGATTGGTTTTAACTTGCACATGAATTAGGCTAATGTCAGAAATAAAGAAAATAAAACAAAAGCAACTATGAATGGTCCATTAGTGAATCTAGGGGTTTTGAGTAGGGGTTGCAAAATTTACAATCGTTAACCAATTTTAAACAAGAAAGGGGACTGCATGGTCACCTTGTTCTAATTTCCCCTAAATCCGCCACTGGGGTCACTAATAATAAGGTTCAACCCAACTAGGACTAAAGAAGACCACCATTGTCTAAATGGCCAGGGGGGACTTATGGTAGACTAGTATGTGTAAGAATAGAAGTTGGAGTTGGTATTTAAAACTAAGGGGTTGTGTTTATAGATACTGATAGGTTTCTATGGTTTTGGTGTGAATTTTCAGACTGAGCTTGTCCCCCTACCCCCTGGGGGTACTCTTGCCCATTTAGGGTAGGGATGTGCTGCTGAGCCCTCTGAACCATGACCCTGTTCCAGAAAAAAATCACCGACATTCATACCCTGTTCCAGAGCAAGATCTCTGAAAATCATACCCAGTTCCCGCATTGTGAAAATAGATACCGTCCCAGAGAGGAGAGAGTGTGATTTCATATACCCTGTCCTAGATCGAGCATGATTTTATATACCTTGTTCCAGAGTAAAATCGCTGAAAACCATACCCACTGTTTGGTGGTATGTACCTGTATAGCGAATATAGGGGAGTACCCCCCTGGGCCCTACCCCCCAGTCCACCCCACCCTGAGACTTGTACACCACTCTTCCAAAGATGGTTTGTATTCTATTATCAAAAACGTTTTCACAACACTGAATTATTATGACATAAGGTTTAAGGGGAGATCAGAGAATATAATACAGTTTTATTTATTATAGCATATAAATGTATGTCAGTATGACAATAATTTCAAGTAAGGTTAAAGTCAAATACATAATCTCTTATATTACATGGACAAATTGTTCACAAAAGACGTTGAATTAAAAGGCCTGAGTAGTGCACAAGGCACTATTGACTAGTAATGCTTGAGATCATATTCTAATAAAATACAGTTTCTATTGACTAGTTTCATGAATCAGCAGCTGTTTCTTGGTTTGCGTCATCTTCCTTTTGTTCTAGTTCCTTCTCCTTTTCTTGTTGCCCTTCAGTAGATTCTGCAACATTTTCCTTTGGCTCTTCTTCTTTGTCTTTATCTGTTTTGTCATCTTTTTCTTCAGTTTTTTCTTCATCATCTTTGTCTGCTTGATCTTGGCCTTCAGATGGTTTGACCCCTAAGTAAAAGCATGAGCAAAATGTTTGATCATTATTGAAATATTTATATTTCTCTTTCTCTCTCAGGAGTAATATATTCATGTTATATTACTTTCACTTTTTAGTTTTGTTTGATGTTTTTTCACCAACTATTTATTTCACAGCCATCACAGACCAGACCCTGAAACAATGACAACCTCAGGGCTGATCTAAGTCAGGACATGACTAACTTACAAATTGAACTCTGAATCAACCTCTGGGGTAATCTAAGTCAGGGCACAACTAACTTACAGATAGAACTCTGAAACAATCTCGGAGCGGATAGGGCATGGCTAACTCGCATAGTGAATAGGCAAGTGAGCTTTTTAAACAGCCATGGCTCTAAATATCTGTTTCTCTGCATACTCTGTACTCTTTTGATCTTCATTCCTACTGGGAAACATTTACAGCTCTCTTCAGTACTTAAAACTAAACTTCATTTCATTTCTATCTACCTACTATAAAGCTCAATAATAAGAAGTAGTATATGTAGACCTAATTACTCATTCTTAACACTTTTTAGAGACTTGTACATAGACTGACCAATGCTGCAATGTTTACTGTTGTATACCTTGAGCAATTCTGTCGTTGACATCCCTGATAGCTTTAGAAATAGCATTCTCAGCAGCCTCGTCCTCCAATATTTTAGCGAGGTCGTGGGCTTGCTGGAATGACCCTAGTGCATCTTGAAGCTCATCCAGTTTAACTACATAAAGAAATTAATAAAATGATTGGCACATTTACATCACAATGCCAATTTTATTTATAAACCTTGTGCCCACAAGGGTAATAGTAAACAATACGACCCCTTAGTCGGAGTCAGTAGGGGGTTCTTGTAGGGTATTGGCTGACATCATGCCATTGAGCTACCAATATCCTACTGACAACCTGCCCTAACCCTACTGATATCTGCTGGAAAACCATCGACAACCTACTATCACTTTTCCAACATATTCAACCGATTTGGGGGTCATATTGTTGACTATTATTTAAGAATTATTCACATTAACATCACAATGCAAGTGTTTTAAAAACTGTCTGCACTACACATTAGCTATATTTTACCTTCTGCTTGTGCAATAAGAACTGTAGCATTGAGCTGCCATACTTGGTCGTCAGCTTCCTGTGCTGCTGCAAGTGACTTCTGACCATATTCTTTCGCATCTTGGAAATTTTTTAGCTCCAGATGACAGCGACCAATCTCATGGAAGAGCCAGGTACTTTCAAGTGGTGTTTTGATGAGAGGCATTTTCTCCATCCATTTGTCGATAGCCCGATCATACTCGCCTGCCTTGGCATGAACTCTGCCCAGATTATCCAGTGCTCTTGATTTTCCAACCTTATTGTCCCTGTAATTACAAAAAGAAATGCACAAAACAATGTATCGGAGCCAGTGAGGAAGAGTTTTGGGACCTATGGTAACTATGTTGTTTAGTAAGGGGCCCGATGTGCTGTGACAGATTGCCTTATTAAATCAAAAAGTTTATCTGAACCTTATATGCAACAACCTTATGTTAAATAGGCAAATATACAGTATCTGTGGTTGAAATTGCAAGGGTGAAATAGTCCGTGAGCAAAAATACTGTACTAAGCTTTGTCCCAAGACACCCCCATTTGTCTATCTGTAAAAAGTTTAAATGAGGCTGGATATAACATAAGGATCAGATCCTGGGGTGGCTAAGCTTTTGGCAGATTTATAAACACAAAACAATAAGCTTAGTAGTCAACTGACAACTTTCTTATAAGTGTTGACAAGATCTTAGGAAGACTTACAGTTTGTCAGCAATTTTAAGATCCTTTAGGTGATGGTCCAGAGCTTTTTTAGTTTCATCCATCTCTAGATAGGCATTCCCAATACAAGAATGTAAGTTGCCAATAACATCTTCCTTATTGGGCACACTATCTTCACCAAGTGACTGAACCGTTCTTAACGTAGACTGAGCCTGTTTCAAGCTTCCCTCAGCATCTCCTTCAGCCAGCGCAAGATCAATTTCTTCCAAGGATCGTAAAATAAACTTTGTGGTGTCTGCAGGTTTACTCTTTTGTTGTACTTTTTTGGGCTTTGGTTTTTCTTTTTTACGAGCATACAAAGGTTTCTGCTGCCGCCAGAATTCTGTCCTTGATTCCAGGTAGCTAAGACCACTGGTCACAAGCCCATGTATTTGGTTATTGTTATTTTTATTGTTTACTAAATCTGAAAGAGAGTAAAACGATAATTCATGAGTATCTGCCAACAACGCATACAAATTTTCTCATTCAAATTTGCCATCCACCAAAAAAAAAGGTTTGGAAAAATTTTATGAGAAAAAATATGCTCAATGACACATTTACAAGATTTCTAAATGATCTCTTATTGTCTCATTAATAATGATATATAGTGTCTTTTATTGCGCATTTAAAAATCTCAATGCACTTAAAAAGTTAGCCAGTAAGAGGCAATTTTTCCCATTCTCTGTGACTGTTTTCCTTGCTAGCAGAGTTTCCCTTGTTAATCGCCAACAAGGGAGACCCTGCTAGCAGGAAAATGAGTGGGCTGCAGCATTTCACAACCACATGTTCTTCATATAACTGCAACCTATAAACATTTGGATAAATTCCACAAATCTTACCATCGTCACTCAGGAGCTTTTCCAAGTATTCCTTGTCTGCATACATTTCACCCAAAAGCTAGTAAATAAAACAAAGATCAGTTTTCAAATCTAACTTTGGAAAACAATACCGTATTTTTTTCACTAGTAAATGTTTAGCAAGGATTTATTTTGTGATGACCAAATGAAAATATGCTGTATACAAAGTTGACAAACCTGTTTGACAGTTTTATCAGATGCTGCAGGGCTCTTGTTGCTCTTGCCTCTGTTAATTTGTTGCTGTTGTGTTCTTGTGGCTTGTGTCTTTGGCTTGTTATAGCCTTTTGGCTTTTTCTAAAACAAACAATTTAATAATTCCACATTTTAAAAAGGGTTCATCATCTATTATACATGTAATAATTAGCTCAAACCCCAGGAAGGACATTTGGAACGGACCAAATCAATTTTTTGCCCATTTTCAGACCCTATGTCATTCTCTTGAGAATAAGATTCTTTGTTAGAGTTCTATTTATACCCAGGGGGGGACTCCGGGAAAAAAGTACTGGGGATGCTTGTCGTATCTCTTAGGGGTAAAAATCCGCGATTTGGTATCTTTTAGGGTGTTAAATGCAAATTTTTGAAAATCAGCATTTTCTGGTATCTCTTAGGGTGTCGGAAAAGGAGAGAAGCGCACATCGATATGGCTTATCCTAGGCGCTTTTTATATAAAATTTAATATTATTTGTTGTGGTATCTCTTAGGGGTTAAAAATCATTCAGCCACGCCCTTTTTTAAAGACTTCCGGTATCTTTTATGGGTGTTTTTGAAAATTTCCAACGAGCATCCCTGGTACTTTTTTCGCAGAGTCCCCCCCAGGTATTTATATTTCTATGTGCAACTGTTAACAAAGAAATTATACTCTAGGGAATGACACTTGGACTGAAATGGGAAAAGAGCTGATTAGGTCTATTACCCAGAGAAAAACCCTTATTTATGAGCCTTTTAAATTCCATCAAACAAACTCTATTCACACTGCATATTGCCATCTGCAGGACATGAACCCCATATGACACACAGCAATAAAGTAGTGAACTAATAATCTCAGTAGAAATACACTGTTTAACAATTAGAAATACGTTCTGATGTACTACTGGGTTTTGGACAAATTCCTTCCCATCTAGTGTAAACAGGGGGATTAGAGGCAGCTTGAGAGTTGTAAAGCTGTTGTATATAAGAAATAAGCATTGATTATGGCAACACACACCATTTCATCTTGCTTGGCAAAAAATGATAAATCCCCTTTGTTTTCTAGTTTGACATTGGCTGCATCTAGAAGTAAAACAAATGAATATTACTTAATAATTCAATGGAGGGATAAAAAAACTTTTAGTCAGTTCTACTTTTGCATAGGCTGATGTGTTTATTACCTCCAATAGAGTTATCAATAGCTTCTTGAGCCTTTTGGATTCCAAGTCTGAACTCTTGTAACTCTGGTCTGAGTTTATTCCCTCTGTGATAGTACACCAAAGCATATTCAAAGTCCCCCATGGCATATAAGGCTTCTGCTTTTTGATACAACCCCTGTTGCGACAATTCATACCACTTTATTAATAGACACATCACTAATGATATTGTTAATGATAGGAAATTTTGTACCTGACAAATGATCAAACCTTCAAATGTTATCGATCGGGGGGGGGATATTTCGGGAGGGGGCACCAAAACTTTTGGGACATGCAAATTAGGGCTCTCACTTTGAATGTGAAAATTTTCATGGGTTGTTTGGGGGGGGATCAGAAATTCAATTAAGTCCTTATGGCAGGCCTTTTAAAAAATAGGGTTTTTAAGGAGAAATCTCCCCCCCCTCCCCCCTCCCCCCCCTCGGCATATTAAATGAACTTTCCTCAAGTCCCAAAATTCATCCTGAGACCATATAGGTAAATGGTGGAATTTACATATAAGCACCACTACTATGCCACCCTTGATTCTCCAAAAGACAAAGAAAATGCTGTCATGGTTTGTACATTGTTACATACCTTATTAAAGTCCTTGTCATCTTCCAAAGCTGCCTCAGCATCTCTCAAAGCAGCAGCATTGTCTCCAAGTTGAAGGTAACACTTGGACCTGGCTACAAGGCAAAACTTGTCTGTAGGTTTTAATTCTAAGGCCTATAAAGCAAAATAATATAAAATAAAAAATGAAACAAAGTTTTTTCTTTTAATATTTATGTGGAAGAAAAAATAAATACTAGATGGTACTGTTTGCATGAACAAAGAAACCTTGACCCCAAGAACTAGAAAAACTAAAAAATTGGTATGTAGCCAAAATGTATGAGAACGAAAACTGAGAAGCGACTGAGTACAAGTCTGACTTGAAAATACATGTAGGTGTGTGTCTTATTCAAAGGCCAGCAATCTTGCAAATAATATGCCATAATACCTTACCACCATTTGAATTGCTACTTGGCCACCCCAGACAAAAATTGCGACGTGCACTTTTAGTGTATTTGCAATAGACTGCTGTCAATCAAACGAGTTAACGTCATTGATAGGCCTGGTGAGTGTGGCTCATAATACTTGTAAACAATCAACAAGTTTTGGCGCCTTTTAAATCACACACGCGTGTAAATGATGTCAACTAGTTTGATTGACGGCAGTCTATTGCAAAGTGCACGTCGCGATTTTTGTCTAGGGTGGCTGCGTAGCAATGCAAATGGTGGTAATCAGTGAGATCACTTTGATATAGTTCAGCCACTCTCAGCTAGCCAAAGTGTTTCCACATCACATATTTTAATTTCATACAAAATAGTAAACACAGCTGACACCAACTAAGTTTGTATATCTAATGTAAGCATTACATTCCTACAAATTTTGTGCTTATTATTTTCTTTAAATTGATCTTAATGTTAAATCGATCCATGGTAAACGAGTCATGAGTAATATAAGTGAAACTTCCATATATAAAAGGTTGAAAATGATTTAAAAATTGAACAGAATACGTGGTTAAATAAACAAACATCACGGAAATCCCTTGAATATCGTTTGAATGTCTTTCGCATATTTTAGTAAGCAAAGTGTATCTAAAGTCACAGAAATGGTTTGAGTATCTTACATTAAACCAGAAGGAACTGAACAAAGTAAAAGTTCAATGAAGATCAACCTACCAACGAATAACTATCCAATGCCTTCTTGTACTCTCCTTGCTTGTAAAGCACGTCTCCTTCTGCTAAATACGTTGAAAAGGAGCTCTTAGGACCTTCTTCTTGTTCTTCGTCGTCTTCATACATTGTTAATAAAAAAAACAGAGGATAAATATGAGGGTTTTTTGAGGACGTTCACTGAACACACTGACTTCTTATTTGCTTGGATGTAAATATGGCCGCGAGATCGGTTGTCAAGGTGGTGTTGCTATGGTACTTAGTCTCTCATGAGGCTCGCGGTCGACCTGTATTGTGTTTTTTCCCGTCTCCTTTCATCTCCTTTCCCTTTATCTTCACTCTTCTTTCCCTCAATGCTGATTCAAAATTGTTAGAAATTTAACCATTTCTTTTCTTATGTTATCTAACACAATCCTTCGGGAGAAGGGGTTTCTACACCCAAGGCTTTCCAACTTTAGGCGTCAGCAGCATAGGCGGTAATCAGGCTACGTAGGGTCTACTTTGGGTCTACTATCGACGGGTCTATTTTATTGTTTCACTGAACCCGAATAAAGAAACGTCTCTGGGCTTTTTATCTTTCTAAAAAGTAGTAACTTTTGTTAGTAAGGTTATCTCTGAAACGGAAACCTTTTCATCTTAGCAGTATCCGGCCTTCTTATCAAACCTCCGCGTTGTTATGTTGCATTCATGAGCGCATAAGAAAAATTAGTATTATTTAGAAAAACCAGACTATGGCTTGGCTTAAAAAAAAGATTTGTAAAAAAACTACCCGGGTGCCCCCCAGGACATCAGCAGGATATATTGAGGTATACCGAAGTGACGTAATTGTTACTGTATCCAATCAGAACGAAGGATACCCTCAAGCAATTATTTGTTGTTCGTTTTCAATCGGTTCTTCACTCAGCTTGGAAATTCTTCATCCAGATTTGGAAAGGGAATCTGGACTTTTCGTTTGATTTTTGAACCCTGAATATGTAGTCCTTGATTCAAAGTTCCAATAACATGACCAAGTCGTATAACTATTGGTAGTTTGAGAGGGAAACTCGTCGAGTTTGTCAAGCATGGGCAACATACATTGCTGTATTCTGCCATCACCTCGCGGCCGTCCTGCGAACACAAATGAGCCGTATGGAGGTGTTGCAGAATCTGGAGAAACGTTAGAACTACCTCATATTAGCGACAGAGAAGGTAAACTAACTCTTCATTGTCTTGTCTTTGGCGAACGGTGTTCATATATGCCATGATATAGCTTATTTTCATGGGCTACAGCATGCTATCATTCGACTAGTCGGTGCTTTGACAACATGGTTTTGCATTTAGAACGCATATATTTTATTCTTTTTTTCGTTTATTCTCTTTCTATAGATCTCTCCGATCATCGTGGAACTCTGTTTAGTCAGAAGTCGAACTCAGGTAAGTTTATAAATTGCATTCATAAAATGTCTTCGGCTTGTAAACCGTAAGAAGAAACACAGGTCCAGCTGCTTGGAAATCGCAAAACGTGGATATATACTTGAGCTCGTGTGCTCGACAATATAATTATATGAAAATCATTAGTTACCATATACATTAATTATGTCTAATTCTTTCTTTATCCGATTCAGTGTATTTTGAAGTTGCTTTCATTATAAAATGTAGATAATTTGGTGTTGTTGTGTGGTTCAATGTAAGCTTCTTCAAGTCTATCCTCCCTAAGTATTCGCCCTATTTGTGGACTTGCATGAATCCTCCATATCTGAATCGATTCAGCAATATTTTCTCCCAATAGGCTTCAATAGATCAACTTAAAACTGTCTCCTTGATAGGATATATAGATGGATACATAATCATTGTAGACGAGCCTAGCTAAAAGCTTGTAAGTGCACGACTAACAATATTTGACATATCAATATAATCGTGTCTGATCTGATTTGAAGATGCTGTAATAGAATTACTGTGTATGAATCTACAAATCTCGGATCCAAGATATTTTTGGTTTGGTCTAGTATACATGATAACAGTGCTGCAGTGATTTACTTTCTATTGCCAACGAAACAGCATTAGAATAATTATATTTACAATAACATGAATAAATGGTGTTAAATCTTTATTCCATAATCCTTCAATCTTTTTGACACAAAATTAAAGACTCATTTAAGTCCCCATTTTGTATCATGATTTTCTTTGAATAGTAATAAGGAGTAATGTTTACAGATTTAATGATTGGTTTGTAAACACACTTAGGGTTTAAGCATTAGATTCCATAAATGACTGGCAAGTCAAGATAGCTATTTATTCACAACTAAATGTTTTCACCAGATAATTTCCTAGTTCAAAATATTGAGCACAAAATTGTTTATATTTGATTGTTTCTTTTCGTTTTAGAACTTTCTAGAAGTTGGATTTTATTTCCTAAAGATTATGAAAACTATGAATGACCTTTATGAGAATTAATTTAGAAATTTTTGAGTTCTTAAGATTTGTTTTTTTTAAATGCATATGGCTTTGCACTAATTTCTTGAATAATTACTTGCATTTTAAAAAATCAGTAAGAAGAACTTTCTACTCTTTTTTTGTGGGTTAAAGTATTTGGGCTAGACTATGTGCATACACTGTATATACATACTTGAATATCATCAAAGCATAGGTAGCTAACCCAAACATTGTATTATACATACAATAATTAAATTGCAACAACACATACTTAGAAGAGAGAAAAGTATGTAGCCTAAATAGCAATGGATCAAATGCACTTACAATTATTATATTGCATGTTAAAATTGAATGCCATATTTGGTAATGGTTGATAATAAACGAGTACTTTCTCTTATACTGTACTTCCTAAAAAAATAAAAATAAAACAAGTAAAAATAGAAGATATTATAAAGAGCAAAGACAAGGTATATATCTTGATGTAGGCCAATAAATAATTGTTATATACCAACTGTCAAGGTCCATTTTTGTCATACTCTTATGGGGCGAGAAGGTATCATGTGAATGTGAACAAGTTTTGATATTTCCCTGGCAACAGCTCTTAGTGGGCAACAATATGTTGTTGATTAATAATAACAATACAGGAAGGGATTTACCCGGAAATGAAAGTTTATATAAGTTTAAACAAAAAATCAAATAACTATTTTTTTTTCTTTGACACTTGGTATTATAACAAAACAATTATTGACTTGAGCCTCAGGAAAGCAGTGGGAATTGTGGTCCCTGGACATAGATGTTTCCCTCTGCTTCGCCTCGTGAAACATCTCCATCTTGGTACCACAAAACACACTGTTTTCCTTGGACCCAGTCAATAAGTGTTAATTACAGAGGTGCACTATACAGATAGTACAAGGTCAGAAGGCTATTCTGAATGTTTCTTACATTAATATTTGGCATGAGATGCTATAGTTCTGTCTGTCATTGTCATGTAGTTAATGTCTGGGGTCACAGGAACTTGGATTCCCAGCTGAGCCCATGTGTGAGTTAATCAAGTTTGTTTGAATTGTTGTTCTCTCCCTTACATGAGGATTTTTCTGCTAGTTCTTTGGATTTTCTCCTTCTGTAAATTTAAAAATAAACATGTGAATTAAGCGTTGTGTGTTGAAACAAGCCTTGTGGAAGAGCCCGATTCATGGATACGAATGGTTGTAAAATATTCTTCCTTAACTAAATTATATTCTATTCACAAATTCGTAATGTGTTTCTATTCTTTTTTTTGTGTGTAAATTCTTATATGAATAATGATTTTCATTATTTTTTCTATTCTGTTTTTGTGGGTGTAAATTCTTTTATGAATAATCATTTCCATTATTGTTTATATATATAAAGCCAAGAAAGACTCCATACAAAATGAAAAATCCTTCTCATTATTATTTTTCTATTCTTTTTTAATGTGTGTGAATTCTTTTATGAATATCATTTTCATTATTGTTTGTATATAATCCCAAGAGTCCATACAAAGTTTTAGTATTTTTGTGGTTTCTAAGTAATGCTGCAATACTGTTCTTCTTAACAGATTAAAAACCTACTGGTGGGTGCATACTGGGTAGTTTTCTTCAATAAATTATAGTTTAAGAGAAAGTTAATTGGTATACAAATTTTGTAATATAGGTTATAAATAATTAAGAATATTGTGTATATTGTTTTTGATCTTTATTCTCAACTTTCGAATTAATTTTGTTTGTAGCTTATTTCTTTATTAAATGTCATACATTCTTTTCCTCTTTGGAAATTTTTTTACAGTAAGTTATTTGGATGAGTGATTTGGATAAGATGAAACTTTTTTTTGTTTGTTTATTTCTTTAGAATAATTAATGACTGTTGCCTTAAATAATGTTTTATTGATTAAGAGTGGTTTTTGACTTTATACAGTTATGGCTGACATTAAATAAGTCAATTTTAGTTAAAGTATTCTAGGAAAAATAAACTATGACATTTGAAAAAATGTTTATATTTACATTAAACTTTTGTAAGATTTATCTTAAATGCAAATTGAAGTTCCTACAATATTATTATTTATGTTTTTTTTGTTTCCAATCAATTGTATGTTTTTGGTTTCTGGGATTTCAAAGATTTTTGGCAGAGAGTCAAATAAAATTTTATAGTAAAAAAGTTATTTTCCTATTTCAAAATTAATTAAAGGCAATTTCGAAGCTTAAAGAATTATTGAGATCACTTTATTTTTTCCGAGAGTTATTGCTTTAAAAATTGCAAGTTTTCTAAAAATAGCAATGAAATGGTGAACATTTCAATTTTAATATTGAATATCTTTCGATTTTTTAAAGATATATAGGGGATATTTCATGGGCGTGCGGAGATACGAATTTTACCTTCGAGTGTTCAATTTATATCCCACGAGTGAGCACAGCGAACGAGTGAGATATCTAAATTGAACAAGAGAAGATAAAATTCATATCTCCAAGCCGCCATGTAATGTTCTGTTTATCATATAGATATTGATGAAACTTGAATAAAACAAAAGCTCAGAAATTCTTTATTAAAATAGCAAGCCGATTCTTTGACAAGTTTGAAAGCTAAATTTGATTGGTTGAAAAATACGTTACTATGTCAACAGCGATATCTTCATGTGTGAAAGATATGGTATCTTCCACTGGTGAAAGATATCAAGTATTCGACACTAGAGAAAACCTGGTATTTCATCGATATCTATATAATAATAATTATTATATAATAATTATTGTTTATTTATTTTACCATTCAAATAATCTACTGAAATGCGTTCAGAAACAAAAATAAGTTTCACTTGTTTAAAAAGATGATTTAACCATAACTTTATAATTTGCTTATTGATTTTCCTGCCAAAATCCTTCAAAGTTGCAAAACCAAAAAACAATTGATAAGAAATAAAGAAATTAGTAATCGTAGAAAGTTTTATTTGCATTGGGCAAGTCTATTCAAAAATATATAATTTCCATTTTGTTTGCCATATTACCCCCTAGCAAAAAGAGTATATTGAACTATTTTTTGGATAAGAGAATGTTGTTATATGTTGTTGATTCTGTACCCTTCAATTGCAACTAAATGAAAGATTGTTTACATAGATCTGAGATCATTATAAAATTTCATAGTCCATTGAAGTTCATTGACCATGGTCAATTAATCTGTTCTTTGTCACTGAAACAGCATGACCTCTTCTAGTCCATGCAAGTCCTATTTCTAACTTTTCTGTACTGACACAGTCCTTACTAGTTTTGAACACCCTTTAGTTGTTCATTGTTTTAATTTTTTTGTAATGTATGTGTATTACATAGGCAATGGATTAGTTGTAATGGGAGGACGACGTGCCATGTCTATGATTGCCGATTCAAGAAAAAGAAATGGGGGAGATGTAAGTAGCAATATGCATGCTTACATGTAACTATCCCTTACTAATAAAAGTAATAGGAAATGACAAAATTATGAGGAGAGGTGAAATCAGAATAAGTCCCCTGTTAATGGAGATGTAAGTAGCAATATGCATGCTTACATGTAACTATCCCTTACTAATAAAAGTAATAGGAAATGACAAAACTTATGAGGGGAGGTGAAATCAGAATAAGCCCCCTTTTAATAGAGAGCCATTGTCACAGAAAGATAAAGCTCTAAATAGGATAGAGAAGTGTTTTTTGACTAAACTTATGAGGGAAGGTGAAATCAGAATTAGCCCCCTGTTATTGAGAGCCATTGTCACAGAAAGATAATGCTCTAAATATATGATAGAGAAGTGAAACATACCCTTCAATATAGATCAGTACTTGCAATCCTATGACCATGGCTGTACTATTTATTCAGAGTTCAATTCCAATATTCAATGAATAACTATTAACATCTGCAGGGAATCAATGGCAGAGGTTTAAGAAAGTGTAATTCCTGTTCAACCATTTTTATTGATGATAGCACAGTTAGTCAACCTAATCTAAAGTCTACAATAAAATGGTAAGTACTGTTTCTGTTGGTCATTTCGAGGTGGCAAGGAATGACAGATATTTATAATTGCTACCATTAACACTGATAGTACATTAACCAAAGAGCTGAGATTTTGTTTTGTTATGATGTTGACCATTAGCAGTATAAGAAAACCAGTCTAAAGTCAAAACTGTGAAAATCATTTTTATTTCTAAAACTGCACGATTTTTGCATTAATGCAAACCCAGTAAATTGTCCATTCAAGATTTTATTATAGTCCAAATTTATTTATCCAATCCTAAAAACAATTTTTCTTTTTTTTCTTCCAGTGTGGCACTAGCTGTGTATTATCATATCAAAAACAGGTAATTGATTTTCAGACGTGCATCCTAGGGCACCTGTGACAATGCACCTTTCTTATTGGAGGTTTTGTTATTTTTGACATGGTTATCTTTGGGGGAGGGGAGGACTGAATGATTTGTTGAGGTTAGTTGAGAGGAATATTGAATATTTGACATTTGTGTGATAAGAGGAGAAGGTGCTGCCTTTGTAACTAAATATATACAAAGGGTTAGACCTTCACATCACTCAATGACCTCATCAAATGGTAGTCCAATTCCTCCACACCTAACCTATCAGGTTTATGACATCAAAGAACTACTGAAGATGTAAAGAAACCCTAGAAGTGACCATCTTCAGTTTATGGCCTTTACTAGTGATTTCTTAATTCAAAGGGGGTTAGAAATTGCATATGGTGTAGTGTATGTCTTGAAGAGGAAGCTGTGTACTATTGTGCAGCACATGTCTGTTCCAGTTTATTGGTTGATACTAACAATTGTGTATATATATTCTCTGGGAGTCAGAATCTATTACATTATTTGACTTCAGTGGAATTAAATGAGTCAATCTTTTTTAGGGATGAAGTCATGAGAAATATTGATATTTTCGATGAAAAGAAGCATCCTCTTACAGTAAGTTATTTGAGTTAACAGTATTGTTTGCAATTCATATGTAAGTGAGAAATTTGCAGTGTTGTGGTTTCCATTTCCCACATGTATTTTATGGCATGTCATCACAATGAAATGTTATCCTATTTCTTGCACATACGCAGTATGCAACAACACTGAAAAGACTTCCCATTCTTTAAAGCATGGCATGCCATAGCATTGAAATGGTTTCCTATTCTCACATACACGGTATGTCACAACACTGAAAAGACTTACACAGTATTATCACATTTATGGTATGCAACAACAGTGATAAAGTGAAAAAGCTTTCCATCGTTACAAGTATGGTATGCCATTTTATTGATTTCATTTCTAATTTTCTCCCAAAGCATGATGCGGTACCAGATAACTACAACAAAATTGATCCTGAGCATCGACATATTTACAAATTTATTAAAACATTATTTCATGCAGCACAATTAACTGCAGAATGCGCTATTATTACTCTGGTAAGTTACTATGAAGACAGCACATTTTTCATACTGATTATTTTCATTATTGTTTATTCTGTACTTTGCGTCATTCGCCGATAGAAATACGAGCAATTGATGCGCACTGCAGAAAAGAACAGCGTATAGTTAGGACGACAACTAAATACAATCTTAGAAAGATTAGAAAGTTTAACTTGCCAAACATATATACCAACCGCTTCCAGAAAACCTTCATTCTGGCCATACGGCAGACATCGAACTCTCATGGCTGATTTTTATCAATTATTGAACTCTTACAGTTTCTCTCGCATATTTGACTTTTATTTATATATTGTCGTTCTTCTTTATATATAAAGTTTTAAAATTATTTAGTGTATATTTGTAATCTACGCTATTCAGCCATTTGACTGCGATGTCGTAATTTCTCAATAAACGCGGTGTCTATTTATCCGAATAATTGTAATCGTACACTTAATACAGGTTTACCTGGAACGGCTGTTGACATATGCAGAAATTACTCTACATTCAGGAAACTGGAAAAGAATATTGTTAGGAGCCATACTGTTGTCATCCAAAGTGTGGGATGACCAAGCTGGTTAGTAAATTCTTAAGGGCGGACCCAGGGGGTGGCTTGGATGGCTAGCCGTTCCTAATACAGTTTTGAAAATAAGAAAAAAGAGAATGTAAAAATCTAAAGAGGAAGTGGAGACTAGTCATAAGACGGCCATACCCTGGATCCGCTATCGCCTTCAGATATTCAAAAAATAAGTCGGATATTTGGTGGTTGGCGGTTGACGAAGCCTGAATAGCGCTATCTGGCGGATAAATCCTTATCCAATGGATAAGTCAATGCTGCTATCCAATAAATTTATACGGCACTGGATAATATTTATCCGTCGGATAGCGCTATCCAGGCTTCATACAACCGGGCCCAGATATTTAAGTCTCGACTTCAATATTCTGCCATAATGGGCTCGGATGAATCCCATAAGTGTATAATATAGGACCGAATATCCCCACGAACTTCCTTATCTTGTGCCTCTTTTGTGGAATGCGAAAGCTAACAGTAAACTTTTCTTTTCTTCATAGTATGGAATGTTGATTATTGTCAGATATTGAAAGACGTTACCGTCGAAGAAATGTAAGCAAGGTTTGAATCAAGAGAGTATTAAGTAACTTACTTTATACTGTATTGGTTTGAATATATTTAACAATCCTTTCTGTGAACTTCTGTGAACGTATGATATTTTTGTTATAGTGTTGAACTTGAAAACAAATGAAGTCCACAAAACTTAACCGTAAAAAAATCATCAATACTAAGTCTAGTCTTTCACATGTAACGGGTTAAAACACGAAAATATATTTTTTGTTTCAGGAATGAACTCGAACGATCATGTCTAGAATATTTACAGTTTAATATTAACGTGCCTTCAAGTGTATATGCCAAGTATTACTTTGATCTTAGATCGCTGGCCGATGCTAACGATCTTAGCTTTCCTCTTGAGCCTCTCAGTAAAGAAAAAGCCAAGAAGCTTGAGGTAGGTTTTTGGAACTCCAACCCTTGTTGGGACCTTTTTTGTTCAACGTTATGAAAGACTCGAACAAATAAGGTTGTTTTCGTTCTTTCGTTCGTTTATTTTTGTTTTCTTATTTTCTAGGCTTTATCAAGTGTCTGTGACAATAACCTAGAGGATGTGGCATCCATGTCACTTAAACGATCTGCAAGTCTTAATAACCTTACACCGAACAGAAAGAGTTTTGCAATCATATCGTAAAAACAAGATGCTCCTGGAATATTCTCATATTCGAGTCAAACGCCACACTCCTTGACCATTGGCACAAACCGGATGAATATTTCCACAGTTTTTATAAGGTCAGGACTCAAATAGAAGCCAGGGGATGGAAAATTTAGAAGAGAAAACGTAGGCGCGTAACTTTCCCGCCTTTTTTATTTATGATGCCAAGTATGACGTCATAGTGAGGATCAAGTTGGTCATTTGGTAAAAGCAGCCGAAATTCGTCACATTTCGTCCCAATTGAGTGTTATTTGCGTCAAAAAAGGTGGCAACGATATAAATTATCATCAAATGATGGCCAAGGAAATATTAAAAAGTGACATTTCTACCTCTTTCTTATCAATTATTTTATAAATAAAACGAATTAAGTATAATATAAATAATGACTTTAGGAAAAAACGCTGAGACTTGAATCTAATGTAGGCATTTAGAAGACTTATTTTACTTAGATTTTATAATAGCTATAGAGTTCTTTAGTGAATAATTTAGGATCATTTTATAGAATACAGTCGTATAAAGTACATGCACCTCGCTCTGGCTTGAACATTGACCTCCTTCGATAACACGAAAAAGCAGACCAGATTTCGTCCAAAAGAAGTTTGGGAAGCTTGCCGCACTGGGACACTTGAGTGGCGTCCGCCATGGACCTATTACAAAGCCTGATAGACTATTAGCCATTCCCAAGATTGCCGAAATAGCCGCCATCTTGGAAATAGCCGCCATCTTGGAAATAGCCGCCATCTTGGAAATAGCCGCCATCTTGGAAATAGCCGCCATCTTGGAAATATGTCCCCTAAGATAAACAGCCCCACAATGCGCTGCAATGCCAACTTCACCCATTTTTATCCTAGACCTCGGAATGGCTAATATTAATTCAGAACTATCGAATTCAAGCGCACGATAATGTCTACAGCTATTTCATAAAAGATTTGTGAAGATTGTGTTGTAGGTTGCACCTTGCACATGTGCACATATATGTATTGTACGGGTATGTGAATATCAGCACAGAATGTATGTGAGAGAGTATGCGGGAGAAACTTGACGACTAAGTTTGAGAAAATTAAATTTAATATTGTTGTGAACTCTCGTTGATTGCATTCGCATCGCATAAAGTGCATTTCGGGCTTGGTATGCAACAACACCTTCACCAACCTATTATGAAATAGCTGTATATCTTTCGCGCCAAATCTGCTCTTACTATTTGAACCTACTGTGAATAGAAAACCAAGCAACTGTTCAAAATTAAAAAAATAAAGAAATAAAACATTTCTACTTACAGCTATCCCAGGAGGAATTACAGATTGATCAAGAAGCTCGGCTGAACGGCGTAATTAAAGGGAGAGGTTAGTCGGCTCATAGAACGTATACGATTAACCTCTTTCTATGACCAGCAAACAGTGTCCTTTTGTTTGTACTGCCGATAGCTAAGTACGCTTAGTTACTTCTTTTCCATGTGGGACGCGTATGTGGCCGGCAATTGGGCTGAGATGAACAGCCCATGAAAAATGTCTCCGAATTTTGATGTTTTTCAAATCCAGTTAGTTTTGATAGGTCTGTTAGGGTTGCCCCTCGTCGCTAGTGTTTCGTACGGTTGAAATTCGTATGGTGGAAGCTCCCTGTTGTCGGTGAACGGTGGTTAGACGATATTCACTAAAAGAATCATTGCTCCCCTTAAACAAAATCTTTTTGAACGCTTTTCTAAATTTTGTATTCGAAAATGCATAGATGATCGGATTGACAGCAGTTTGTAGATACGCAAGCCAACAAGAAAGTGTATCTGCTATCTCCATAGCACAATTTTCTATTCCTTCGTCTATTAGGATGGCTATGTTTATGATTTCAAATGGTAGCCAGCAAAGCACAAAGGTGATGACAACAATCCCTAAAGCCTTTGCGACCCTGAGCTCTCGTCCAATCAAATCGCCCACATTTCGTATGTCTGTTGGAATATTAGAAATAATCCCGACACGCTTTGCGTGCCTGCGGGCGATGACGTAAATCTTGAAGTAGAAACCAATCATTATCAAGAATGGGATAAGAACGTTAACGACCAATAAGAATGCGTGAAAAGCTGGAGGAAGTTCGAAGGAGTAAACCTTTTTCTCTGGAGGAATCAAAACAAGGAACAAAATAATCCCAGTTATGATGGAATAGGTCCAAATAAATGCAATGATGACTTTCACGACGTTAAAGCTCATGAGTTCCTTGTATCGAAGCGGGTATACGATAGCAATGAACCGGTCTGTGCTAATGGCCAAGAGGTTGAAAACTGAGGCCATCAGAAACAGAAAAAATACTGAGTTCCAGAGATTACAGATGAGTCCACCAAGAGGCCAGACAGGAAAATAGATCCAGTACACGATATCAAACGGTACGACCGTCACTGACACCATCATGTCCGATACAGCAAGGCTGCACACCAGGTAATAKGAAACGGTTTGTAGACTTGTGTACTTGAAGATCACTGAACAAACCAAGATATTCCCTAGTATGGAGAGAGTGATGATGATATACATGAAAATAAGGCCACTGATCGTTAGTCCTACGCCGAGTTGATCATCCTCACAGATGGAGACTTCGGTGGCGTTGGACGGAGGATAAAGATTGAAGCGTTGCATTTCGGTTTGAAATATCAAGAATTAAATGATGAGATTTGACAAACCGTCTGAAGGTTTTCAGCTTCATAAATAACAGCTTTTACTCGAAAATAAAGAAAATAAAACTCATCCTTGAAAAGATTCACCAAATGTCTTCCAAAAATAGCATATATTATCGTCGCTGATGGAAAATATTACGTTTTGACAAAAGATAATTTAGAAAATGCTTGGAAATTTAGGCCGTGACAAACAATGCATTGCGCGCCTAGATTCCAAATCACCTAGTGACTGCAGGATTCCGACCATTCATAGGGAACCAATCAGATTGCTGCATTTTCATTTGGACTGCGGGCTTGTCATAAAGTTACGAACCATGTGTCCATATCCAAATGCCGAAGAATCAATAAAAGCCAAAACTCAGTTGGTTCTTGTTGGAACTAGGTAATATTGAGTACTAACAAATAGAATGTTCCGTCTGATTGGCTTATTTGTTCGGGTTAAGAGAAGCAACAAAATCACCCTGGACAGGTTGAAGTTCAGAAAAATAAAAATATGGACTAGTAATTAAGCCATGTGGCCGCTGAAACATAAGGAAAGCTATATCTTTTCTCTCCTATTTTACCCCGCTTGTCTTCGGATCGTTCAACTAAACGAACTCTACCAAGGTTTTTTTGAAAAACGTTTTGAAATTCCTGTCAAAATAGATAAAGACCTCGTATAATTTAGTACCTTTGAAGCTTTCTCTCGTGCGATAGACAAAATCATAGTAAAGTTTTTAAATAATAATAAGAACTTGACGTTTCGGCTGCAGGGGGGTAATTGCACATTGATATTAAGAGTCAAAGCCCTATGCTATCAACAACCTCAAGCTAAGACTTCTTTCTAAATTGTCTCAGTTTTTAATTTATATATATCACTAAAGTAGATTGGGTCATCCATAAACAACTGGAAAATGAAGTGAAAAATACTGACGATGTTGATCAAGATGCAATCAAAACAAAAAAAATTATTTATAATGTATAAGATATTTTACCCTCGGGATATTTGAAAACATTAAAAGATCCAGACTTTCGTTTGGCTTTGCTTGGACATTTTTAATATCAACTTCAGTCTTCCTATTGATACAGGGCTACTATAAGTTAACACATGCTTTTTTTTCTGTCAGGAATTGAAATAATTCATGTAAATTTGTGAGACAAGATAAGTTTTAACTTTTTTCTAGTTTCCAATTTTTCAGTTGGTTTTATCGATTGTTTTGATCAGTCATACGATAGCTACTGACTACATTTGAAATAAAAATTCAGAAGACAAATAAGATAAGTTTTTTTCCTAATTTCCGATTTCTCTGCTCCACATGCAGTATGATATGGCTACTAGCATTAGATAACTATTTTATCCTGCTAAAGTGTGTAATATGATTTTTTTTTTAACTCTTGAGACAAGATAAGATTGGATTTCATTCTTTCTAATTTCAATTTTTTGCTCGACAATTCATCCATTGTTTTGGACAGCTGAGCGATGCGCTCATTTCCAACTAGAAATGTTTCAGTTTTCTCTTATACACCAGGTCTTTAGCACACTTTTGCGGGTACATTTGACAAAATTTTATGGTTGCATTATTGATTTTTTTTCGTAGTGTTGGTTTATTGGTACTATAACTTGAGTTAACTATAGCGAGTAAAGCTAAATAATATAGCAAATAAGAAAGATGAATTTGATGCTGAAAAGCTAAATTGCTGTTGTTCAATGTGGAACAAGCAATGAAAAAATATATATCTAATAATTTTTCCGTTTTTACTTCATCATTTCAAACGACAATCAAAATGACCTTACCATATTTTTCATAAGCATCTTGGTGATTTTCAATGATTGTACGAAGCTGTTGTACAAGCTACTTCTTACAGCGTTGGAAGTTTCGTCTGCACCGACCTTCGAGTTGATAGCTAAACACTTCACCAACTACCAAAAGTCTCGTCCACCAATGTCACCAATCAAATCAGTCAAATATACTTGAAAAGTAATTTTTTCTACGAATGCTATTAAACCCTTCCCAAAATAACAAGCCGCTATCGATCAACTCTGTCGCCGGGTTTCAGCTGTAGGATACCTATCAAAAATCTTATATATAAGACTGTAGGCGGACAGGTGTAAGCAAGATTCAAGTTTGACTACATATCGTGCTTTAATTAACCAAAGTATTCTGTAAAGCCAATTCGAATTTGAATATATAAATAATAATCATTAGAGCTTAAACTTTTAAAGATTGATAATTGACCACAAGGACAGTATGATTTTAACACCTGTAATCTTTCATGGAAAGTTATGGAACGTTTGTATATGAAACAAATTTAAACAAAAGAAAGCTTTTTTTGCTCTATATGTCAATTGAGTTGAATCTTTTGGCACACTCACTTGTTTGTTGATGGCTTTCACAATATTTGTTTGGTAGTACACTTGCTTCACACTCTGGGGTCTCAGGTTTGATTGCTGTACTCGCCGTCAAATATAAACATCCCGGTTTTTTAGAGGTCTCTCTTTTGATTACAGAGTTTTTCAGTTCTCCCCCTGCAAAGCTCAACTCGATAAATTCCAATTCGATCTGTGAGTCAGCCGTGCTCTGACGTAAGTTGATCAACCCAGAGGTTGTTTCAAAGTTACTCGACAAAACTTAAATTGCAGGTTTTATGAAGTTACATATCATTAATGAAATATACTGGGGTTAGACAAGTCTGTGTTAGACACGGAGAGTAACCTGCGTTATAATGCTCTATTTTTGTTTTGTTTGCTCTGACCGTTTTTAACTTTTCATTCCAACTGTCGCCTGAAGAGTATTAAAAAATCTGAAATCCCTCCTGCCTTTGGACCTCTATCATGCTGGATCATGAATTGAAAATTAAACAGGTGGTAAAAAAAAAGGAAAAAAATAACGAAATAAAGAAAGGACGGAAGGAACGGAAGGAAGGAAGCAAGGAAGGAAGAAAAAATCAATAACATTTTCGCAGTCATCATCTTCAATGACACCCAATTCAAGTGGAACTAAACAACAATAAATGAGCGTAGAGCGTTTTTTGCAACAGCTATTTTTTGTGTTTATAATTAAAATAAAAAGCCAAGACGATAGCTAATACTACTCTGTTTTTCAAACCAAACGATTTGTTCCCTATTCATGCAATAAGACCATTGTTAGCTTTTGAAGAAAAAAAAGCCAGTCAGTTAAAGAAGCATGTTAGAGTTACATGCGTAATATGGAATAAATATATACAGAGATCGATGTGTCATTTTGTTATACAAATAAAATAGAAAATCAAACACGCCATGCACGTCCGAAAGATGGTCAGATGAATACCTCCAAGTATCGTACACTCTATACTATTACAAGTTGGCCAAGCAAATGATTCATATTTATAAATAAGATTATCGCTGGTTCAACTTCTGCTCTGGTTTATTTTGTTTATATTTATTTATTTATATTTTCATATGAAACAGAATATTTTGATATTCATGAAATCACAATAAATTTCTGCTATATTAAGGAAGGTCAGCCTTTACATGTTAAAAGTGTTATTGAGGTGGGATCTACTAATAGAAGGCATACAATATGTCCGGGAAAAAACTAAATGTAAGTATTGCACAAATTTGTACAAATTAGTAAGTTCAGTAGACCTCAGAAGACCGTAGACCGACACGAGTGAAAAACGTCTTCGCATGCTCTGAATCCTTATGCAATAATAAGGACTTCACAAAATGCCAACACTTAGTGTCCTTGCTTGAAACTTAAAGCTAATTCTTTCATATTGTGTTTGTTAATACAGTATCTTGGTCTGACAAAAGTATACTCGCGAATTGTTTTGTATACTTGGAGAAAACAAACATTTATTTTCTCCCTCGAACTCTTCAAAATTGTTAGAAAAAGTGCTGAAATACACGCATGCGCGAACGTTTTTCTCTAGTGTCCCCTAGACCTACAAAACTTTGCACTAATTTGTACAATTTTGTTAGCTATCTTTTTCAAGGATATATATGGTAAACACTGTATATGCACCGAGTAAACCAAATGTGCAATACAACGAATTAGTCAATATGGTCACCACTTAGTACCTTCGATCCATTCATCATACATACTTTATTCTTCAGTGCTCAGTTTTGGAACAAATGATTGGGCCCCTCAATGAAACCATGCAATTGCTAAACCCTGTCACTAAAACCCAACGGAAAAAGTTGAGTCAGCTACTCTAAACTTTAATGCTTATAATAAATGAAGATTTGACCTTCAAATCTGCACAGTATTTTTCTAAAGATTGTAACCAGCATTGTGTATGGCTTTATGTCATGTTTCGGGAAAGAAGTGATTTCTCGAGTTGAACTCAAAGCTTCCTCATCTTATATGAGTAACAAGGTTTGTCTAGTTTTTTATTCAGCATTTCTAAAAATCTAATGCGTTTACCACTCCTGGGTGGATGGCTTAATGCCTAACAGGCCTTGCAACCCAAATGATAAGGCAGCCGGTAGATCGAATTAGAATTTAGAAGTTGATTTTTGTGGAAGGAGGAAAAACCGGAGAACCCGGAGGAAAAACCCTCGAAGCACAGAAGATAACCAACAAACACTCTACTCACATACGACACCGAGACCGACAAGGCTCGAACCCGGGTCGCATTGGCAGCACACCCCACCCGTACTTCCCATTTCTTCATTGATGAGGTTTTATACCTATAAAGAATTATCTTCGGTAGCTTATTTGTTTTGCTTTATTTCCACTGTTGTCTAGGTATTCTCAAAGGAGTTTTTATATTTAAATACGAAAAGAGATTTTGAAAAGGATTGCGGTAGTTTAGGTATGAAACGTCATTGTTTATCGGGTCTAATTAACCAAAAATGAAAGAACTGAAATTAGAATAATAAGCTAATTAGATCCAATCCTTAGTTTGTGTGAAAGGGTTTTTAGGAAGACAAGCAGAAACAGCAATGGATAGATTTTTATCGCTGCCGGATACGTATAATGATCGAGCGGGCAAAACTGATTTTGTCTCAGTACACACGTTTGGGACAGCCGACTATCAAATCACCTTGATCAGTTTAGTTCCGAACAACTATGTCCTTTCAGAAAGGAAGAATAAATGAAACGAAGAGTGAATGAAATAAAGATAAATAGTTCCTTAAGCTGTATTACTATTGTTGTAATTTTTTTTTTTTTTTTTTTTCCCAGTTCTTATCGCGCGCAGGCGACAACCAACTTGAAAGGCTATAAATCTACTATCAACAAATCAACTGGGCAACTAACCTGATAAATTATTTAGACTCCAGAAAAATATGTACTAGATTCCAGGCACGGATAGATTTTTCAAATGATAATGAAAATATCTCGAAGTCTTCGCTCTGTTTTTGATCCTTTCATCCTTTGAGCAAACACGGACAAAATCTTCAGCTTACCTGCTGTCAAACGGTGAATCCTCAACTAGTTTACATTTCGTAGTGACGATTCGTAAGATTAACAAACATTGAGCCATAATTCTATCAATCAATGCAAGAGCTTAACATCAATAAGCGTCAAAAAACATAAATTTCAACTAATATATGTATTTTTTGGCAATTTTTACTCGGGCTTTCAAAGAAATGCCCGAAGTATAAATATTGCGTTCTGTCACAAATCGCAGTTGCGTTCAAAACGCATGCGCAAATTCTATGCGCGTGCGTAGTATGCGCCACATGGTCGAGCAATGGCGGAATTTTTCAAGGTTTCGTCAGAAGGATGACAGAGTTCACGAAGAATTCTTTCATTTTCTGCTATGAAGCTCGAGTTCACGCAGATATGCGTCTAGTTTAAAGAATAATTGACTTTATTTAGCCATCTGCTTGAGAAAGATCGGCTGAGGACGTCGGGGTCGGAATCGAAAATCGAAAAAGCGCAGTTTGAATCTATTCTATTTTCGGAGGACAGCCGGGTTTGTAATTTTCGTAGAGAAGTGCAAATGATGACGGGAACATGTCGAGTTCTTCTAGGTAAAATACGAGGCGACGAAAATAAAAATTAATTAAAGTTTATGATGTTTTGGTCACACATGTACATAAAGCTGTGCCAATAAAAGTTTAAAAGTTCTTGCGTATACAGTTCGTTTCCATAGCAGCTATCGTTTTACGTGGTGAACGCGACTGCTTTCAAAACTCGATTATCAGTCATCTCTTATGTTAGATTACCAACGCCGCCGCCCAAGGACTAAACGGATCTTCAAATCTTCCATCAACTTTTTGGATCGCTTCCTTAAACAACCTCAAGTGAAGGATGATCCAGGGATGGTTCTGTGGCCCGGGTTCCATTGAACCCTCCTTTTATGAGATGTTGTGAAGCCAATCATGTTCTTTACGCTCAATAAAATGAAATTGGAGCGCCAATGTTACCAGCTTTTTATGTGTGCGTGGCGGCCATTTTGGAACCCGCCGCCTTTTAAACTCCTGGATCGCCACCGACCTCACTAGTCTTATGAAAGTCATGGTTAACTCACAGATCGAACCCTGAATGGCTAACTCATAGATGGAATTGGATTTTAATTTTTGGACAACTTTTATATAACATCCATACATATTTAATGAGTACATTATGACCTAACCATCTCAAAATAAATGAATAGTTATTCACTCTAATTATACAGCTTCTCATTAATCCCATGTAGGTAACTGTCCAATTATTTTCTTAATTGGACAGGTCTTGTTGAAATTGCATTAATTAAGCAGCTATATAATTAATAGGTAATGGGATTTCATGCTCCCCAATCAAGAAATAATTAGACTCGAAACATTCCTCTGACTACCAAATTGGACTCGGCCTACGGCCTCAAGCAATTTTGGAAGTCCTCGGAATTTTCCTCGTCCAATTATTTCTTAATTGGACAGCATGGAGTCCTATTACATATACAAAAAGAAATTATTTGATACCTCTCGTGAAGATAGGGTGGTTCTCGGGCTAGGGGCAAGTCTCTTTAGTGATTTATTTGGACCAGGAGATACCAAAACAAAATAATCAATCCTCGATTAATATATTGCAATTAGATCATCCGGCTAATATATCAGTACTTCAAAGGCAGTTTTTTCAGGCCTCACGAAGGGAACTAAGGAATGTCTTTATCTTATCTTTATCTTTAATTGTTTTTATAAGTAAATGATTTTTCGAACTTTTAGATAAACCTAAATCTCTAGCTTGGGTCCCGGTCATTGACAAACATAGAAAAAGTAAATTCTTTAGTTGACTGGGCCCCCAAGCTGGGAATTTGTCCAAGGGGTCTACGTTTTACTACAGTGGATATACAGCTATTTGAAAAAAGGTTGGTTGGTGAAAGTTTTGTTCGCATGTTGTATGGTGCTTACCAAGCTTGAAATGCATCATGGGCGATGTGAATCGAATCAGCAATGGGTCACAACGATAATGAATTTTGGCTTCACGTTTTTCAGGTATATTTTCTTCTGTGCTGACATACAAAGGTGATATATTTCAAGCTTGGTGAACGACATGCAGCATGCACCATGCACATGCAACAAAACCTTTCAGTACAAACATTCAAAAAATAATTTACCTATTCTACTCTATTCTATTGCTCCATTAACCTGGAGCACTGGTTTTCCTTATCTTCACTCTTTAAAAATTCCATTTTTTAACCTCTATATGTATATCAATATATTTTTTTCAAGTAACAAAATAATATATACACTTACTTGCAAGAAGGTTGTCATAAAAGAAAAGAACATCAGTAATTTAGTGAGAAAGGAATACATTAAAAGACAAAAGAAATGAAGTTCAGCTTCAGTGATCTTTATTTTGTTTTTTTAAACAGTATAATTCCCATCCCACTAAATCACTAATGTTCTATTTTCGTATGACAACGTTCTTGCAAGTAGGTGTACAAACACGTGGACTATTAAAAATCCTGCATTCAGGCTGATTGCTTGGTTATTTTACTCAGAGGTATTTCATTGCAGTGTAGGGCCGAAGTGCCGTCTTTTTTATTCTTTTCTTTTTTTTTTTGCAAGTTAGAAGTGATTTTTTTTCGGAAGACAACTGGTAGATTTCATTATTGTTTCATAATTGCCAAACATCATGGCTGCCGAGAAACCTATGTCTGTTGCGATGTAAAAGAGCGTGTTTTGGGGGGGGGGGTCTTGTTTTGTTGTTGCTGTTGATTTTTAATAAACGTGTAAGGCCTAGGGCAAAAGTCGAACTTTCCATGCACCGAACTCATTAAAAACAATGGATATCAGGTGATAATGAGGTGGCATTCTTTGATGTATTTAAGTTCGGTGCATGGAAAGTTCGACGTTTGCCCTAGGCCTAAGGTACTTGTCACGGCGTGCAGAGACCGATTTTCCTATGGTTCCCTGCCTAACGGGAATGGAGAGGCAAGTAAAATTCTTGCCCTCATATGGACGAGGAGCCATATAATCCATTCACATTTGCTACTGATACTATGAAATCTGACCTGACTTTTCTCAAAACCCAAGACGTCTTCAGAGTTCATAGTTTTGTGCTATTATTATGTGTGTCCTGTTGTGGCGGGGTGCAACGCCTCTGATCCAACGTGGACGTGCGCGATCTCGATCGTGAGCGTGTGCGAAGATCATCATCGTTATCCGTCATCCTTCGACAAAGAAGCGAGCGCAAAGCTCGTTTGAAATCCCTGTGAGTGTAAGCATAGAGTACCGGGTTGACCGCTGAATTCAAGTACGCAAACCAACACGTGACTGTATCGGCAATCTCAACATTACAGTCCTCTATGATAATTTCATCTAAGGTTAGAAAACTGACGATTTGGTAGGGAAGCCAACACAGTACAAAACAGAGAATGATGATTCCAAGAGCTTTTGCAAGGCGCACTTCACGAATGATGGTGTCCCGGAAAGTTTTGCTAGAATCATCACTATTAATAGATAGAGAAGAGTTGATACGTTGCGCGTGATGTCGTGCAATCGCATATATCTTTAAATACAATCCAGTCATGATTACGAACGGTGCCAACACATTAACGATCAGTAGAAATTGTTTAAACCATTCCGATTGGCCCAAGTTGAAGGAGTAGTGTTCTCCATCTGGAGGAACCAGTAATAAAAATAACGCAACTCCAGTCGCTACAGCGTAGAACCAGACGCTCATGATAGCGATATTAACTACTTTGAATGTAACCCAAGTATGATAGTAAAGAGGATACACTATAGCTATAAAACGATCTCCACTTATTATCAGTAGATTCATGACAGACGCTGTCAGAAATGTATAGAACAAAGAGTTCCATGCGTTGCAGGCGTAGCCGCCTAGTGTCCAATGAGGGAAATTGAGCCAGTAAATGATATCAAGCGGTAGAACAGACACGCACACCATCAAGTCTGATACGGCCAAGCTGAAGATGAGGTAATTGGACAACGTACGTTTTAAATACGAGAACTTGAACATAGAAAAGCACACAAGATAGTTTCCTGCAGCACCGATGAACATCATTAGAGAGATGACCACTGTGCCTGGAAAACAAATAATACCAGCTAATTAATATAGAAAATGTCTATGAATTTCGAAGATAATCAGAAAATATTTCGCAATGATAATTTATCAGATAATCACATTTGGTCGTCAATGCGCAACGAAGTTGGTTAATAAAATGTGATGTGTCAATCAAACAGAATTCAAGTGAGTGGGCATAAAACATGTTTAAGGATGAAATATTGCCGGTTTTTGCTTTCTTTAGCTTTTTTTTATAACTTCAATGAGGTTTAAAAGATATAATATGAATACCCTATGAGCTTGGGTACTATTCTTGGTGAATTTTAGAACAGTTAGAAGCCGAATTTCCAACAATCATAATGATAATCATCATATTTTCTTTATCAAATCGAACCCGTTAAAATCTACTAATTTTACGGCTACTCTAGATTAATATTACATTCAAGCAAAAAAACTTGACGTAGTTCAGGTTGATCAACTAAATTTGAGAGATTTTTACTTTTCATGTGATCGACAGTCCTTCAAAGCTATTAAAGGCCAGAAAGCTTACCAATGACGAGGAATACAAAGGATAATCGTTCCTGGCAAACATATACTTCTTTACTGGGCTTGGTGCTATTGACCTCCATAAGTTGACGATTTCAAATTAATTGTTTGAAAGTTACTGATTTTTGTAGACGGAATTTGGACTTTCTTTCGCTTCTCTCAGCCGGCTAGAATTCCCTCAGCTCGTCGTCAAGCACCTTGTGTGTTGAGTTAATAAATGATTTTTAGTTCAGTTTTCCATTTGTGGCGACTCGATAAGTGATTCTGTCATGATTTCCAAACAAAATGACGTGTTAGTGCCTCACTTTCGCACATTTAAGTCAACATGGGCTCGAGCAGGAGTTTGTGAGTTGAAACCTGTATGCCATGCTCGTAGCTGTGTTGTTTTTGTCGCGTAAAATGGAGAACTAAAAGTAAATAGCGATTGAATTGGGTTCTTCATCTGAAATGTAAGTATTAAATGTACCTCGGAAAATTAAACTGGAAAAAAATTAAGAAAATTTGAAATGTGAACCAAATTCGATTTTTAAATTAGGGCTATTTTCGGATATATGGTCTGTCTTTATTGCCGAGATAAAAGGATTCAGAATGACTGCGTTTCATTTCCTTAATGATAACCTTCCTGTTCTTATCCCTTATTAGATTTGATATATATCCATCTCTTTGTGTGTTATAACCTTTATATCAACTGTTTGGTTATGATGCTCTAACCTCTGACAAGTTACATTTACATTTTTAGTTAAATGACTGAGAAAAGAGGGGAGACGAAAGGAACGAAAGAAGAATAGAAAGGAAGAGGAAGGAAGAAAGAAAGAAAGAAAGGAAGAAAGAAAGAAGAAAAAAGGAAGAGGAAGGAGAAATGAAAGTGGCAAGGGAGGTGAAAGGATAAAGAAATTAAGGAATTTAGAAATAAAGGCGGAGAGAAAAATCAAAGCAACTCAGAACATGTAACATACACCAAGTGTTGCATTCAAAAAACTTTTGAATATTAATACGACCGCCGGTCTTCAGAAATAAATATTCTGATTTTAAAACAGGTTTTTTAGACATGTTTAATTGTGGACATGTAAAATAGAATACAGCATGCATTTAGACGGCGTTAGAAACTGTATTTTTTAAACTGGAAGATCACATTTAAGCCTCATATCATTGGGGTCAATATGATTATTGTAAGGTTTTAATCAGGTTCGTGCACGAAGAAACGATTTTTGAGGCAATATGAGACGGTTGTATAAAATGAATGAAAACAGGCAGTAAAAGGGTCAACTTGAAGCTGGCGTTTGATAATGAGTATATTTACAGAACATGACCGGATCACTTTTACCTTGTTTGACTGATATGATCCCAATGGAAAACAAATGGTTTAAAGGAATTAGTAGTTGGCGTTTTATCTTGACCCATGCACGTATCAGTAAAAACTTGTAAAAAGTGTATATTCAACAGACACACGGACAATGAAAATAACAAAATCTACCGTTTCAAGCCAGGAATAGAATATATTAGCAAGGAAGACCATTCGACACCATCTTACTCAAGGATTTTGACCTGTTTTTCTCATAATGATCTTACATCACATATATCTCACTTGCGCTAATAAAGGGAGATTTTTTTTCTCCGGGCCGAATATGAATTGGAATTTTGTGAATATGAAGTTCGACGTTTGAATTTATATGCTTGTCAAATGAGCGAAACCCGCACCCCCAGGTCCCCGGGGCAGGGCGGGTAATTAAGCATTTGTATACTGTTAGTACTGTGCTCCAGTCCCCTGAAAAGATTTTCTGTTAAAATTATTTAAGTTGTTACTGAATTACGCGTTAAATTCCCTGTATATCCGTGCATTCAGGCTGTTAAGTGTGCGTCGACTTCCCGGTCTCGCGGGGCTGGGGGTGGGGTCAGGGTTTCAATTTAGTGCATTACTTGAATTCGATTAATTTGAATCAAGTGCAAAGAAAGCTTGAATGAATTATATTCTACCTAAAAAGATACTAGATTCATTAAGTGGCATGGTGCTATTGAAGCGGTAGGTCTTATACTGGGCATTTTTACTGAATATAGAGTTAATACCTGCTTCTTGTCAGTTTTGGGTTTGTTTGCTATTAAGAGAATAACAATAATAATGATGATAATGCAAGGGCGGATCCAGGGGGAGGGTCGGGGGGATCGCGACCCCCCTGTCATTCCTGAAGTCAAATGGGCTTCCTGTGGTAAAAATGCGACTGGGATTCCTTTGCCCAAAAAATTTACCCCTGAGACCCCCCCTTCAAAAAACCCTCGATCCGCCCTTGTAATGATGATGATGAAAATGATTTGTAGATGCTTGTATGGCGCATTTCTAGCCCCAATGCGCCTTACATGAGTCATCATTTGCTATGCTTTGTGATCAGCTAAACGAGTAGCCTCTGTGCGCAGCCAAGAAACGTTCGGCTGTACGCAGGCTACCAAAGCGGCTGAAAAAGAAATGGTACACTCGTCTACTAGTAACCCAATCCTCCCCGTCCCCCTTCTTCCCACAGGCCACCCGTCTCTTTTCTTTCCCTTCCCTTTGCGCTTGCCACACCGGTGACAGATGCAATACGTTGTTTTATTTTTTGTCCTGCGCTGTAAAAAGAAATTAAATGAGGTGCTAGAAAAAAGACTAGTCGCTGATGGACTAGGGACTAGATATCCTTTATTCAGTGATTCATGCATTGTGATCTGAAGGCCGGGTGATGTGAAAGACAAAGTACACAGCTTCTTCCGCAGTTGTCTCTATCTCTTTTATATCATCTTTTTTCCTAAAGTGCATGCAGTAAAACCATGAAATAAATACAAAGTTGACACTGACAAATAGAGTGCTCACACTAAATCCGTGAAACAAATACTAATTTTTAGCACTAAATAGTGATAATTGAACGTGACAATAGAAATAAAGGATTCTGTATGAAATAGTACTAATTAGTACTATTTAATGTTCACGGTTTTAGTGCGTGCACTCTAGTACTATTTAGTGACTAATGGTTACACCCAACCAGAACATAATCAAGAGACAATTTGCGTCTTTAACGCACGCACTCTACCATAGAAAAAACTGAGACATAATAATAGATGCCTACAGAAATGGTGCACCTACACCTACTTTCAAGAACGTTGTCATACGAATATAGAACATTAGTGATTTAGTGGGATAGGGATTATATTAAAAAACAAAAGAAGATCACTGAAGCTGAACTTTTTCTTTTGTCTTTTAATGTATTGCTTTCTCACTAAATTACTAATGTTCAATAATTGTATGACAACCTTCTTGCAAGTAGGTGTATATTGCATGGTCAGACATCAGAGATTTAATTTTGTCCCAAAGTCAACCTTAAAGAATTTCCAGGAGAGGCAGGGTTGGACTTGATATTATTCCATTATCTGGAAAAAATATTTGCTAGAAATCTCTGGCCCTTTCCACCCCAGAAAAAAACAACTGATGATTTTCATTTAAAGCCCTCATTGGGAAACCTACAATATATAGCGCTTTCTTATACTGTACCACCGTCGTACCACAGTATCTAGTAAGTAACCTTGAAATCGACAAGCTCTGGTGCATGTCAGGTAACCATTTGATTGTTTGTTCATACCCATTAAATCTGGGAATAATATTCTCATTTCTAATCACTTTTCTGTTCCTGTTTTCTTTTTATGTGAACAAATTTTCTTGTGTTCCTTCCAGTCTGCTGATTGGCATTGACTAAAACGAGAAGGTTAGAGTTGTAAGCATTCATGAAAAATTACATTTATGTTTTGCATAGGTGGCAATTTATAATAATTTTAACAATGATCCTCTGAAATGTCGAAAAGAATAAACCGCATGAATGCCACTCTGCCACTCAATCCACTCTGCAAGGTGTTTATTATTATTATTAGTTTGAATAGAGTATTAACATTGGCACCATATTTAATCTGAGAAAAAATAAATGTAAAGTAGTCAATTCAGTAATCAGCCCATCAGCCAAGCACAACCCAACAACCAGCCTACCCACCAACCAAACCTAGCCCAAACCTAGCCCAACCCTACTCCACCCAACTAACCACCAACCAGCCTACCCATCCACCCACCAAACCTAGCCCAACCCAACTCTGGTCAACCAAACCAACCATCAACCAGCCTACCCACTCACCAAACCTAAACCAACCCAACCCTACTCCACCCAACCAACCACCAACCACCAACCACCAACTATCCTACCCACCCACCAAAC